AAAAAAAAAAAAAAAAAAAAAAAGCAGGGGGAGAAAGATAAGAAATAGAAAAAGAGCCTCTTTCTACCTTGGGGGGAAGACTTGACTTTTACCCTACAATCTGGACTCTGAGCAGAGTAATGGAGAAACCAGCAGCCTGGGTCCTAACGTGGGAGAAATCTATTCTTCATTATCAGATGCTCAGTGTGGGTGGCTGGTGGCATGTTCTCTTCTCTTCCACAATTAGAAGTACTGATTAAAGTACTTCCTCTAGCCTAGAGGATATGCAAATTAAAACGAGGCTGCTGGGGTTTTTAAAAGGCAGAGAGGAAGGAACCTTTCTTGAGGTATTTTGAGATGAGTTCTTGTGTATTATTCCCTGCCTAGCTGAAAGAGAAGGCCCACATGTAGAAATAGAAAGAACTGGGACACTCGTCCCATATTTGGACCTCCCATTTCTGGAAGTTGCTCCACCTACATACAAGTTCCTGTTCTTTGCCATTACCTTGTCTTCCAATTTCTTAGGCTCATTCACAGTTGCTTCCTGTTCTCCTTGCCTCCAATTCAGAAATTCCAATCCCAGCGCCATCTGTGAGCACTATCCTAAGTCTCACCTCCAATCCCTCAGGGGTGCCGCACCCCTGCGTATCACATTCAATTTCAAGCTCCTTGTGTCCATTTTAACTCTGACAAAGGTGTGAAACCACTCAGGTTGGGTGAATTTTGGAATGGATCTCATTACTTCATACAGAGTTTCAAACACAATGTTGGGAGAAGAGAAGGGCATCCTGGAGTCCCTCCCTTATGGGTATCTTGCTGTCTTATGCTGCCCATCTCCAGCTCTGCACAACATAACCATTGGCATTTCTCACTCCTTCTGCTCCCAGGCTGCCAAGCATGGTTGAATAAACGTAATAATACTGAGAGGTCAGATGACACTCACTTATTATGGTTCCAAGGAGGATGTCCCTCAAATATAACCTGAAATCCCAATGCCAGACATGTAGATAGACCAGGTCCTTCTAAGATACCTGCATATTTGCAGAAGGTAAAATATAACAAATTCCTAAACTTGAACTTATTTAGTGGTCCTGCTAATTAATTAATTCCATTAGTTCCATAAACCAATAAAAGATCAATTTGTTCCCTTAAAATTAAAAGCAAATGAAAGTTATAATGGTATTCCTTAGGTAAAGACTGCTCTTGAATGATGATACTTCAGTTATCTTTTCATTAAGATCCCCAACCTCTGCTCAGGAAAATGACAAAGGGGTCAGAAACAGCTTCCCTCTATGAAGGAAGTGCACAGGAGTCAGAAGGTGGCTCTTCCCTGTACCAGCTTCATCTTCACCATTCTCAAGTACTAAGGAAGTAACATCAAGACACTCAGCTTTAAACCCAGGTTTAAATGAAGAACAGACATGTATCTATATCATGTTGGGCCATTTAATGAGAACTAAAACTACACATAAATGTTGAAAGACAAATGACAAACCGCCAAATATAAATGTGCACACACACAACCTTCCATATCACAACCAAAGGGCTACCCTCAAAGATATAAAAAGCTTCTGGAAATCAATAATGAAAAGACTAACAATCAGATAGAAATAAGAGCAAAGGGCATGAACAGGCATGTCACACACACACATACACACACACAAAAAAATGATCCTTAAGGCCAAGTAAAAGATGTTCAAACTCATTCATAATGAGAAATGCAAATTAAAGCTACAATGAGAAAACTAATTCTTACCTAAAGCATTAGCTGTGAAGAAAGACACTGTTCTAAGTTGCTAAGCATAAATTTGATACTTTCCATTAAAAAACCGGCAAAGTCTCCCAAAGTCACAATTTGGGGGGAATTTATCAGTGCATAAAACTAACAAAAATCCTTGCCCTTGGGCGGCTTTTGTTCTATGAAAGATAATTAATATGCATAATAATTGTATGTCAGAACACTAAAGAGTGCTATATAAAAATGAATATAATATAGTAGGTTGGAAATAGGGTAATAGTTACAATTTTAAATAGGATCCCCAGAAATGCAAAACTACTCTTATATGTCACATCACACACATCGGAATGGCTATTATCAAAAAGACAAAGGATAGAAAAGTGTTGAGGATAGTGTGGAGAAAAGGAAACCTGGAATTCTGTCTATGGGACACCCACTGGTGCCGTCATTGTGGAAACCGTAAGAAGGATCCTAACAAATTAAAAAATAGAACTACAATATGAGTCAGCACTCTCTCTTCTGAGTATGTACCCCAAAGGAAATAAAAGCACCACCTCATAAAGCTATGTGGAGACCTATGTTTATTGCAGTATTATTCACAACAGCCAAGATACGAAAACAACCCGTGTGTTCTGACAGAAAAGAGAAAGAAGAAACTGACAGACCCAATGGAATAGTATTCAACCTTTGTAAAGGAGGAGACGTGTATTATGTGGATAGACCCAGAAGACATTACACCAAGTGGAAATAACCAGACAGAAAAATATTGCATGATCTCACTTATAGATAAAATGAAGAGAAGTCAAATATAGAGTGAGACAGAATAAAATGGGGGTGGAAAGAACCTAGGTCAAAGGATACAAAGAGCCAGGTGTGCAGAATGAACAAATTCAGAGACCTAATGTACAGCACGAGGGCTATACTTGAAAATACTCTATTACGTTTGGGATTTTCACTAATAGATTTTAGC